CACACACACACACACACACACACACACACACACACACACACACACACACACACACACACAGATCCAGTTTTTAAGATAAATTCTCACCCAGACGTCTGTAACATTTACTTGACAATATTTGGTTTAGACTGTGTTCTACTTTCTATAATTCAGCTTGAAAAACAAATCAACAATAAAGTACTGACAATCATTATTACTGTAAACAAATGACACACATACATGTTTACTTACATAAACAAAGATAAACCAACAACATATCAGTTCTACCAATACGTTGACAACAATTATCACCTCCAAGATCACTTTTAAATCATCAGTTATTTATTATATTTTTTGAAATAGTTGCTGAATGTATTTAAACAATTTATGTCAGTGCTGGGAAACCTTTAAAGGTTTTTTGAACTGTTGATGAGTTTCTAGTGTTTTTTTTTTTTTTTGTGTGTGTTGTGTTTTACCAGTGGAGGCATGTGTCCTCTGTGCATCTGTCCACTGGTGATGTGCTGTTTGGCCTGAGGCATGGAGCCCATCTGGAAGCTCTCTGGACCTCCACCTCCTGGGCGTATGACCACTGGCAGGGCGACTGAGTCCATGTTTACCGTGCGCACCTTGTTGCCCAGCTGCTGCAGAAACGTGGACCTGGAATCATATGAGATAGAAAAAAAGTTACACTAGTGTCCACCAAGAAACTGATTAGCAAGTATACGTAGCTCTAACAAAAACATATCATTACAGCCAATGCAGGTATGTTAAAAAATACACTCAAAAAATGTGTCTAACTTGGTTGTAATTTGGTCCCCATGGAGACAAAGGAAATCAGCTCATTTTGATGGATCTGACACGTTTAGAATGGACACCAGAGAGCGTAACAGTAACACAAGTGGAGCATTAGTCTTATCAGGTAGTTGCCAGAGTCGGACAGTGAGTGAAGGTCAGCAGACACAGAGGATGTCTAGTAGCTAGGGGTGCACCAAAAAAATCGCTTCACATCAGAACCGTGATTCTCATTTATAAAGATTCAGAATCTATTTAAAATGTCCCAAAATTGATTTTTGTAAATAAAAAATAAAGCAGATCCAATGGCTGTCAGCCTCCAATTTGCAGCTACATGGGATGTCCTGACACCATCACACAGCTGCTTCTGGAACATGAATGTGCAGAAAGCACCAAAACAAAGAGGAAATAAAACTGGAGGGAAGAGAGATTCAACTGGCCCTGTCTTCAGTGAATGCAAAGATTTGGGCTCATTTTGGTTTTTACTGAATTAGTCTGAGTTTGACATGAGCGAGGTGTGTGAGGTTTGCATAATGACGATGTAACACTTTGAGAACAAAACAAAAGGGCTCACATTATCAGTTTTGAAAGAAAAATCCATTCTGAATCCAATCGTGGCCTCAAAAATCAGTATCGAATCAAATCATGAGAGAGTAAAAGATTCCCACCCCTACTTGTAGCTGCATTAGACACCATTTTCAGAACCTGTAGTTTGACAGCGGTCGTATTGTTAGACTGGTCATGTTGTCCCACATGTGGTGTGACATTAAAATGAACCATGATTAATCGTGACATTTAGCTGATAATTGATAGGGTGATTAATAGATGATCATCGGACTTGCTTGTTGTTTCTGGCTTTCCTTGTACTCTGGTTTATGTTGGTGTTTCAGGTGATTAAAGAAGTTTGTATGTTTAGCATTAGCTGCTCCACACCACCTTCCACCACTGGGCACACATGTGCACCATCAAACATGTGGGATCAAGTCAGACATCAACTATGACCCAGTCCTGCTGGGTCCAGCTCAGACTGCTAACTCATAGAGGAAACTTACTTTTTGGGTGACACAGAGTCTTCCAGCATGGTTGACTCTTCATCTCCTTCCAAGCCAAAGTGATCTTTGCTCTTTTTCTGTTAGAAGGATAGAATGCAGTTACACACCAGACCAAACAGTGCAGTTTTAGAGGATTTCTCCTACATTTAGGCTTTAAAAAGATAAAGAAAACACTTTTTACCTTAAAAAGACTGTAAAGATTATTGTCATGTACAGTGTAGTGTTGTTGCTATATAACCACAGACCTTTTTAAGTATGATGTCGATGTACCCAGCAATAAGCTGAGCTATCTGCTCCCCCTCAGTGGTCTGCACAGAGTAGTAGCCGTCCTGGTAGTCTCCAAAGTCCTGAGAGCACAACAACAACTTTGGGTTAAAAGAGGAAATGTATTTTGTATTAATTCTAAGATTAGAAACTCCAGGAATAGAATAACAAATAGAAACATTGGGCCTCATACAAGAACCGTTCGTACGCACAGATTTGTTCTTAAGTTGTGCGTACGAGTGATTTAGGAGAATTTGTGGCATTCACCAATGTTTTCATATTCTAAGATTTTTTTCAGATACGAACAAAATTCACGAGTGGTCCAGACCTGTTGTATATTTTACCAGCAGTCAGTCTGCTGTTATCCAGGCGGGTTTTCCTCCATAATAACTTTGTATTTCGTTATTTAGAAAATATTTCGTGTTGAAAATAAATCACACTCCATAATTATGTTGACAGTAGGTTATTCTGTTTGAACTGGAATTAGATTTTAACGACATAAATTGATTAGATTAAGTTAAACTGTCTTTTAATGCTGCTGTATAACACTACAGTATTAATATGAAGATCTCAAACTAAAAAACAACTTAAATTATGCATTAATTGAAGTTTGGAGAGGTTTTAAAATGCCTCTTTTCAGAACCGCATCTGTCACTTGCGACCGCAGGGAGGGGTGAGACGGCCAGGCTGGGGGGGTAGCGGTGCACAACCACCCTTCTTCTGAATAAATGTGAACACAGTAACACAGTTGTTTACACTTAAATTAAAAATATTTGACCAAAGAAAAACCGGAGCTGGACTAGAGAGAGATGAATATGATTTATATTTTTATTTCTGTGACTGTAACGACCCACAGGAGACACGACATTAACAGCACATTTCATTCCTTTAAGCAGCTCCTTTAATTCCACATGACGCTGCTAAAGAGAACAATTTATTTTCTCGATCTCGGAGAGCAGGACTACAATCTCTGAACTCGTAAAGTTCTTTTTTACTTTGCGATGTCGTTTATGAATGGACACTTCCTGGTATGTGGGGCAGGAAACATATCCTTATATGGTGTTTTTGGGGTGGTAATTATGCTAATCTCCTCTCGCGTGCACGAGCAGCTGTATAGAACAGGTGTAATTTACGCAGCTCATTTACACACTTTTCCTGAAGATAGAAGAGTTTGTTGAATCTGACGTGACATGTCCGTATGAACCCTTCATACGAATAAAAGAAAGAGAAATTTAGGATAAGAATATGAACATGTTCTTGCATGAGGCCCATTGTTGACAGAAGGCTGAACTGCACCATTAAGTGTTGTTGCTTCATTCTCAGCAGACAGACAAACAGTAACATCCATCATATTTAGCTAATGTTAGAACTTTACTCCCTTTTCGTGCCAGAATGTTACTGTGCTGATAATAAATATGACATTCCAGTACAAACACAGAACAACTGAGGTTCTCTAACAGGAAACACCAAAGTCTAAGCAGGTGAGAAATATAATTACTCATCAAAACTGCAAGTATATGTCACTGTATCACAGAGAAAATACAGTAATTATGTCGAGGAATTTGTTAAAAGCTTTTTAAATCAGGACGGGCTGTTTTTGAACACACAGCTACTGTAAGATACAGGGTCAGATAAATAATTTCATTTGAGAAGAAAAAGTACTTAAAGTAACACAACAACAAAAAAATACAATTATTATAAACATGGGACTTTATGTTTTTTTTATTTACGTAACATTGTCCTTATGAAGAAGATTTTTTTTCTCTTTGTCACTTTGAAACAGCAAGAAGAAAAGTCTTTGTGAAAATCTGACCAGGGTGAAGCTCTTGGGTGATGCAGCCCAGCGTTTGATGTTGGTCAGGTTCCACTCCTGGATCACCTCCTTGGTCTTTTCATCCACTCTCATCACACTCTCCTTGGTGATGCCCAGCAGACGAGGCACCAGTTTGTTCTTACCCTTCATTTTCTCCTGCAGACAGTGAACAAAAACAGAACGTTTTTACTGAAAATAAACAGATACCTTTTCAACATTTTCATGTCGCCGGGCCACGTCTATCATTAAAAACACACAGTTTTATGAATACATGTGACGTTGTGCAGACTGTCCTTAAACTACACAGATTTCTACCCATTTTGTAGGCATACAGACGTATAGAGAAAACCTTGATTTCAAAAAGTCAGCTTCAGAGTTCTTTATGCCTCAGAGCTGGCCTGTAAGGAAATGCAAAGTTCCCTCTCCTCGTCACTCTACTGCAGACAACCCCCCACTCCACACACACACACACACACACACACACACACACACACACACACACACACACAC